TGGACATTCTCTCTCTCTCTCTCTCTCACTCACTCACTCACTCACTCACTCACTCACTCACTCACTCTCACACACACACACACACACACACACACACACACACGGTTTGATAAAAAAGCATCAGGACTGTTGCTGTGGTAATGGAACTAAAGTACTCAGTGTGAAGCTGCTTGGCACAGATTGGCTTTGATCTCTGTCAAGCAAACATGCTAAGTTATAATGTTCATTTTATTGTTTATAGCAGCGCTTGGAAGGAAAGTGTGTAGAGTGTGGTCGTCTCACCACACCAGAAAGGTACTATCAGATAGCATGGCTTGCAAAAGAGTTTTTGTAAAAATACATCATTCCCCAGGTCTGACAACCACCATATTTCCCTGATCTCGCTCCCTTGCCACTTGTTCCTCTTCAAAAATCAAATCCCACTTGAAAGGAACAAGATTTCAAGATGTCAAGGAAATCCAAGAGAATGCGATGGGGCAGCTGCTCATTATCCCAAAAAAGGTGTTCCAGTAATGCTTCCATGAATGCAAACAACATTGGATAAAGAATGTGGCTTCAGAAAGGGGGACTACTTTGAAGGAGATTAAATGCTGAATTGATAGGTATTGTAGTTTTCTTTTTATAGCACTTGTTTCAATACTTCTTGACCAGTTCACATATGTATCAATGCTTTTACTTTATCTTTGTCTTCAAGTTCAAAATTCTTGAACCATGCTAAAAAAAAACAAAAAAACAGTTGTCTTGTAGGAGACATATTGCAATATCTTTTTATGAATTCCAAATCAAGCAGTTTTTTTCCCTTTTATATTTTCAGGAAGCATTGAAATTTGGAGAAGCTAACGGATTCAATGTAAGTACTCCTTCTTACCGAATTATTGAATAGCCGCAATAGAAAACTGGCTTGTTACTCTCACCATTTTTTTTTTCTTCCAATTTGGGTTAATTCCAGTTCTTAAATTTCTGGTATCCTGAGATGGAATTTGTGTTTTTGGCAAGTTTTTATCCTATTGTTGCATTTTATCACAGCCTTATTTGACTAAGTCTGAATACACATTCTCTATCCTGGGAGTTTGTCTTTTCTTTTTTTTTTTTCTTCAAGATAACGCCTTTAACCAATTCACCCATGGAAGCTAATAAAAAGCCTCATCAAAAACTACTATTTATTAACACTATTGTTTACTTAATATTTATTTTAACATCATAAACAATTCTGAAGTTATAATTTTTTTTTTAGTAAATATCAAATTAATGTAATTATTGGGGTTGGCCAAATAATTTGAATATTATGTAGAAAATTTACTTAATAAATTAAACAAACTTTTTAACCTCTTCAACATTAGTAGTTGTAGTATTATTATTAGTATTAGTAGTAAATTCAATTATTTATTTATTTTATTTATTTTTTTTAATGTTTTTAGTAAATTCAAATAATACAAGTGGTGGGGTGAAATATTACAAATGGTGTAAAAGTGACAGTAAATCTATTTGAACAGGAGTGGATTTAGGCCATAAGAGCGCCCCCCCCCGGGCTATTAGAATTTGGTGGCCTCTTTATTACATATGTTCTGCACCACCCTTGTGTCTATAAGTAAAAAGAAAAAAATGTTTTTAGATGGTGTAAAACAAAACCGTTCAACTAAAATTTCTAATTATTTTGGAACTCATCCAACCTATTTCATTAACAACTTGCTGATATTTTTTATCCAAACATTACATTCTTCAGAAATGTATCTAGAATGAAGGACGGCCTGTATTACACTGAAATACTATTATTCAAAAAAAACAAAAATGAAAATGAAGAAAAATTCTGACTTGCTACAATTGTGCGATCCTTGATCATCACAGCTGAAAAAAAATATCAATTATAGTTGAAATTGTCAACTTCAAATTTTTTACTTTTTTCTAAGCAAAATTTATAAACATTACAAAGTTTTTGATATTTTAAATAATTTTTTTTTCAAAATTGCACAATTTTCCTTTTCTCAATTCTTTTTGTACTGTTTTGTCTAATTTGTACAATATTGAGCAATTTTACACTTATTACTTGTCTGTGTTCAGTGAAGTGTAAAATTGAGCAAAGTCAACAAAATTATGCAAAACTAAAAAACTACATCAAAAATCTGTTTGAAATTTCTTTTAGGGCTTTTCTATAGCTGTGGGAAGTATTTCATTTTTTATTTTTTTTATTTTTTTTTAAATTTTTTTTTATTTTTAGAGTAAAACCACACTTCCCTGCAGATATATAAAAGCCCTAATAGAAACTTCAAACAAAGACATTCATCTTTTCCCCTCTGACAATGGCAGTGGAATTATAATTATGGACAAAAATCTCTCTCTCTATTATATATATATATATATATATATATATATATATATAATCTATCGGAGGCACGGAGTAGTGGATAGCGGCTTGGATTGAGGAATCGCAGAGCCGAGTTCGAATTCCAGTCGAATTCATTACATTCACTTACGTGCTAATACCCTTGGGAAAAGTATGAATCCTCTTCCTCTCCCTCCAGCTATGGGTAAAATAGCAGGACAGACTGGGTTCTATAGCCTTGGATGGCAACTGGTCTAGGAGAAGGACAACTCTGAATTCAAAACCTGCGGAGGGTCGTTTGTGAACCTTGTGGCATTTGGTGCACCAGGTCTCTGTATTCGGCCCTTCAAAAAGTGTGGATGGTCCTGCACGAGACCTTCACCACTATAATCAAATCTCGTGCTGCTGTCGGTTTCCTGGAAACTGATCTGCTTGACCCTCATACGTCGAATCTCAACGGGAGAGTCGATTATTATAATCTATCAAAATCTGAAAATAAAAAAATCTCCTCTGTTCTTATCTTTTTAGCTTTATCAGGGGCACAAGACTAAAGGGTCCCTGGGCTGCAGCCTATACTAGCCCATATGCAAATTTGACACTATCTGAAGTTGGTTGACCTAAACATACATGTAGTATGCCTGAAATAGATGTCAGGTACAACTTTTCATTTAGCAACCAACTTTTTCAATGTTCAGGTTGTTGGAATGGAATCTGGTTGTTAAGTGAGGAATCGTTTTATATCAGTTGAAAACATAGGTAACATCTGACAAACATATTTCCTGTTTTAGAAAAACATTTTAAAATTTTGTTGTTTCTCTTCAATTTTTTTTTTAATCTGCAGTTTTGTTTTGACATATTGTAATCGTTAGAATAGAACTCTATGAACAAAAAATCTCAGTACTAGATAAAAATACCTATGAACGCGACTGTAGAATAAACTGGCTTTTAATATTTAGTAAAAAAAGAAAAAAAAAATTATTTAAAAAAAAAAAACTAACAAAAACCCCCTTTTTTTCCTTTCTGTTCCTTAAACCTTTTTCTCGATGTTTTACAGTAATTTCTAACTCATTCTTGTATTTTCTCCTTTCTGAATAACTTGAACTGTATCTTTTTTTTTTTTTTTTAATTTTTTTTTTATTTTAATTACCATGTAGTCAACATTTTCCATGTACTAGAGAGATTCTCAATGTGTGGCTAATAATTACTCCCCAAGTGTTAATTTCCTCTTGTTTTTCTAAAAAATAACAGCTGACAAAAAAAAGAAAAAAAATGAAATCCTTCCTTCTGTGCAGATATGAATGGAGTTAAGAATATTTAGTTTCACCGTACACAGCAGTCAGTCTTGCTTGCGGTTAACGAGTGTTATATTTCTGTAAACGGTGAAGTCTACTTCGTTTTCTCTCAACTTTAAAAAGCCATTTGGTTCTGAGTTACGTCCCCCTGAACGGCAACTCTTCCACTGCAAATTCCTGTTCAAAGAATCCAAGGGAGGTAAATGAGCGCACTTGCAACTAGTAATGACTTCATCGTGCTGAAGTTTCTTTTCAACTTTTGGCAGCACAATCTCATTACATAAAGGAACAGGTTGGAAGATCTTTAACATGTTTCAATAGTTATCTAGCTTCATTGAGAATTGAATCGGGCTGAGTTAATTTTTCGATTTTCGAATTCTATATTTTGTTTTTAATTGGTTGTGTAGACGTCACGTGCATACTTTTTTTTTTTTTTTGTATTAGTGAATAGAATTAAAAAAAATTGAACCTAACTCTGCATTATTTCACTATGAGAAATTTCCGAAGCTAAATAGCAGAACCATTAAATCTGGGAAGATTTTTACTGCTTACTCCTTATTTAATAATTCTCTTGGATTTAGTCCTTATCCTCTCTCTCTCTCTCACACACACACACACACACACACACACACACACACACACACACAAACTTTATGCTTTTGTTTTGAACTTTATAGACTTACGCCATATCAATTAGAAATACAAACTGATGAGCCTGGTTAGTACCTAGATAGGTTTGTTTTTGAACTTTGGTAGACTTATATTACATCACATTGAAACACTGGTTCCATATCAGAGGTGAAAGCAACGTCTTTCCAATGATGACTGCCTTGGTGTGTTGTTGGTATGGCTTATGGCCATATCACATTGAAACACTGGTTCCCGTCTCATCAGAGGTGAAGCAACGTCTTGAGTACCTAGGGGTGACTGCTTGAGAATACCAGGAGCTGTAAGCCTGGATGTGCTGTTGGTATGGCTTATGGCCATATCACATTGAAACACTGGTTCCCGTACGATCACAGAGGTGAAGCAACGTCTTGCTTGGCCAGTACCTAGATGGGTGACTGCTTGAGAATACCAGGAGCTGTAAGCCTGGATGTGCTGTTGGTATGGCTTATGGCCATATCACATTGAAACACTGGTTCCCGTACGATCACAGAGGTGAAGCAACGTCTTGCTTGGCCAGTACCTAGATGGGTGACTGCTTGAGAATACCAGGAACTGTAAGCCTGGATGTGCTGTTGGTATGGCTTATGGCTATATCATATTGAAACACCGGTTCCAGTATGATCAAAGACGTTAAGCAACGTCTTGCTTGGCCAGTACCTAGATGGGTGACTGCTTGAGAATACTAGGAGCTGTAAGCCTGGATGTGCTGTCGGTATGGCTTATGGCCATATCACATTGAAACACTGGTTCCCGTACGATCACAGAGGTGAAGCAACGTCTTGCTTGGCCAGTACCTAGATGGGTGACTGCTTGAGAATACCAGGAGCTGTAAGCCTGGATGTGCTGTTGGTATGGCTTATGGCTATATCATATTGAAACACCGGTTCCAGGTATGGGTGACTGCTTGAGAATACCAGAGCTGGCTATGATGTGCTGGATCTGCATGGCTTATGGCCATATCACATTGAAACACTGGTTCCCAGACATCACAGAGGTGAAGATCTTTGCTTGGCCAGTACAGAGGTGACTGCTTGAGAATACAAACTGTAAGCTGGATGTGCTGTTGGTATGGCTTATGGCTATATCATATTGAAACACCGGTTCCAGTATGATCAAAGACGTTAAGCAACGCCTTGCTTGGCCAGTACCTAGATGGGTGACTGCTTGAGAATACCTGTAAGCCTGGATGTGCTGTAAGCCTGGCTTATGGCCATATCACATTGAAACACTGGTTCTGTTCACAGGGTGAAACAACGTCTTGCTTGGCCAGTATCTAGATGGGTGATTGAAAGGAGCACTTGTTCTCCATATCACATTGAAACACTGATCACAGAGGTGAAGCAACGTCTTGCTTTGGCCAGTACCTAGATGGGTGACTGCTTGAGAATACCAGGAACTGTAAGCCTGGATGTGCTGTTGGTATGGCTTATGGCTATGTCATATTGAAACACCGTTCATTGAAAAAGACGTGGTTTGCTTGGCCAGTACCTAGATGGGTGACTGCTTGAGAATACTAGGAGCAAGAGGTGTCGGTAGCAACGTCATTGTTTTCCCGGCCAGAGGTAAGCCGTCTTGCTTGGCCAGTACCTAGATGGGTGACTGCTTGAGAATACCAGGAGCTGTAAGTTTGGATGTACTGTTGGTATGGCTTCTGGCCATATCATATTGAAACACTTGTTCTCATACGATCACAGAGGTGAAGCAATGTCTTGCCTGGCCAGTACCTAGATGAGTGAATGCCAGGTGCTGTAAGCTAGGATGTGCAGGTGGTGAAATTGATAACAGCTTGGAATTGGAAATCAGAGAGCCGAGTTCCAATTCCAGTTTGTTATATTGACTTATGTGCAAAGGTATGAGAAATGTTGGGAATGGTATGAACCCACCTCTCCTCTCCCCCAGCTATGGGTTAATTAGGACTTGTATCAGTCAATCATTACTATCTCCAATAATAACTTGAAGAATTTTAATAAACTATAAAAAAAAAAAAAAAAATCAATGAACCTGAACTTTATAAGTGTTCAGGTTTTGAAATGTGAAATTGAACAAAATTTCTTCTAGAAATAAATGAAATGTAATTCCAAAAAAGGTAAATAAAATTTTAAGCTCATTTATGAGCAGAAAAACTGACAAATTTGTTTGAAACTAGTCAGAGAGCCGATTTTCTAAAACGGTGTATGTTTTATTGTATTAAAAAAAAATAATTCATTTATAATTAATAAAAACTTGGGTTGTACAAGAATACAGAATATTTGCATGCATGTCTGGAGGTATTCACTTTGTATTTACTCAGCTTAGTTTTGGTATGAAGCACCCAATTAGGATTGACTATTTGATTGACTTCTCCATAAATATTTTCATGGTAATTGTTCTGATGAGCTTTACTCTGTTACTTTATGAATCTAAGTGCTGTACTAGATTGGCAGCAACATATCATCATTTTATAGTTGAAATGGTTAGATAAAGAGTGTTTCATTAAGAGGGATCAGTCAGCAGTAAATAAATCGGTGTTATTGGTGAAAATTTTATTTCTCTATTGGATCATGTTATTTAACTCATGGCAATTATGTATGGAAAATAATATTGCCCAAATATCTGCTAAGGCTTCGGCGGCACACCTCCCACTTGATGGTCACAATTTTTGATGACGTCTCTGCATAGTTGCTCCGTGATTTCACCAATATGCCTTATCTCATCCTTCAGCTGTTGAATTGTTGTTGGTTTGTTGCCATAGACCTTACTTTTGAGATGAGCCCAAAGGAAGAAATCTAAAGGCGTCAAGTTGCACGATCGTGGTGGCCAATTGACTTTGCTGTTTCAAGAGATGATGCAACCTGGGAAATTCTCATTGCATTTCTCTTTGAACATCCATTTTCGTAATAGGCTTCGATAACTTTAACATGTTGTTTGATTGTTAATCTTTCTATGGTTGAAATTGCCAAAGACTTAAGTTGTTAAATCTGAAAGAAAATGAAAAAAAATCATTAGACGTTTAAAATTAATTCACATTTAAAATCGGTCCAAGTTATTGGAACACCCTTTATTAATTTCTCAGGTAAAGTTCTGAGTAATTAATTTATAATAGTCAGTTGGAAAAATTGTTTGTAAACTCAAACAAACTGGGTTGGTGGCAGATGTTAAAACACCATTGCGTACTCGTTTATGCCATTCAGCTGAAAACATTACTGCAGTACATGAGAATATGGCCGAAAATCCAGACACCTCTATTCGACATCGTATGCGCTGGAATTGAACCTCTGCACAACAACGTCACATCGTTTCCAATTGCACTCTTGGTTGGTCGACATGTTGATGTAAAAAAAAAAAAAAAAAAAAAAAGAACTGTCTGTCGCAATGCATTTCTGTTTAAATGTCCATTTTCGTAATAGGCCCGATAACTTTAACATGTTGTTTGATTGTTAATCTTTCTATGGTTGAAATTGCCAAAGACTTAAGTTGTTAAATCTGAAAGAAAATGAAAAAAAAAAAAATCATTAGACGTTTAAAATTAATTCACATTTAAAATCGGTCCAAGTTATTGAACACCCTTTATTAATTTCTCAGGTAAAGTTCTGAGTAATTAATTTATAATAGTCAGTTGGAAAAATTGTTTGTAAACTCAAACAAACTGGGTTGGTGGCAGATGTTAAAACACCATTGTGCCATTCAGCTGAAAACATTGCTGCAGTACATGAGAATATGGCCGAAAATCCAGACACCTCTATTCACATCGCCTCTCCACAGCAATGTCACATCGTTTCCAATTGCACTTTGGTTGGTCGAATGTTGACCAGAACTTTTTGAATGCATTTCTGTTTGAACGTCCATATTCGTAATAGGCTTTTTAACACATTCTTTGATTGTTAATCTTTCCATGGTTGAAATTGCCAAAGACTTAAGTTGTTAAATCTGAAATAAAAAAAAAAAATCATTAGACGCTTAAACTTAATTCATTTAAAATCAGTCCAAGTTATTGGAACACCCTTATGGTGAGTTAATTGGGTCTGTATAGTCCTGTGTGTGTTAGTCAATCAGAAATGTTTGTTGAAGTCATTCTTTCTTTTTATTTTAATGAACTAAAACACCATTAACTAATTTCTTTCATTCTTATGTCAATGTGGTGCAAAGAATCGGATTTCTAGTTATAGTGTTTTGCAGTTACTTATAATTTTGTGGTATTAATTTAATATTAGCAGAAAAAGAAAAAAAGAAGCCTGCTTTGGATAATGGTGCCTTAATTCTCTTCAAAGACCTCTTTTTTGGAAACTTTAACTTTTGAAAATATTCTGCATTGCCATCACTACCTCATTGCAGTCTCTTTAATTTTGTAGTGTTTCAATGGCTATATATATATATATATATATATATATATATATATATATATATATATAGGGAAAATGTCAACAAGAATGTGTGGCTTACCAAGCGAAAATTTATAAGGATATGGAGGATACAAACCCTAAAATATACATAGGTGCTACTCAGGATAATTTAAAAAAAAGATATTATAACCACATGAGTAGTTTTAAAAACGAAAAAACTAAACATAGTACCACGCTATCCACCAATGTATGGAAAACTAGACAAGAAAACAATAAAGACCCCATCCTTAAATGGGAAATATTAAAAAAATGCCCCAAATATAAAGCAGGCCAAAAATTTTGCAAACTATGTACAGATGAGAAATTAGCCATAGCTTTATATAATCAACTTAACCAGCTATTAAACTCAAAAACTGAAATTCTTAACATATGGAGGCATAAAAAATCTTGGTTACTGTATTAGGACGAATTTCCCCGTTTGTATTGTCATTCCACCCTTATTGTTCGTGTTTTAATATCCCCCAACTTTTAGTCGTTTGAATAAATCTTCCTCCCCCTCCTCCTCCCCGGTGTTATTGTGTTGTTTTTCTTTGGTCATGTGGTATAATTTTGATTATCGCCTATAAATATGCTGTTTCTCTTTTGCCTCTTTAGCCAGCTTTCCCTGACGATCCGCTTAGGTGAAACCTGGGTAGGTTTGTCTGGCTCACTAGGTTTTATATATATATATATATATATATATATATATATATATATATATATAATAATTTTTTTTTTAATGTTAAGAATCTAGGTTTATATTGTACATTACAGATAAGTTTTTTGAGAAAATTATTTTTAAAATGAACATTTCATGTCCTTTCCAAATTCGACAAGGAGCTAAATAAAAGCAACTCCAGCTGTAAGCCATTTCCTTCATTTATAGATTTGCATTTAAAGAAAACAAAACAAAACTCCTGTTTATTTGGATCTTTACATATGAAGAAGACGAGAGTCACAGAAATATAACAAAGAATGAGATCTATGATCTGAACAACTCTTCAAATGATAACGCCTGTTTTTAAAATTACAAAGTGTATCTTTAGTAATTTCTATTCTTTCAAAAATAATACACAGGCATTTTATTGCCTTCTGTTTATATATATGATTTAAAGCATTCAATTTTTTCTTTTGTTTCTCAATGATAACCATACTTTACAAAACTGTTTTGAAAATGAAGACAATAGGTTTGCCTATCATCTGGTTTGCACTCCTCCCTGAACAGGAGTAGAGGTTTATCCCTCATTTCTGGTTTCTTCTAAAGTCTATTTTAACAACATATATACTTCTAACATCTCTGCTTAAAATCTGAAATTTTATTTGCTATTTATTTATTTTCTCATTAGGAGTAGATCAGTTTGCCTATTGTCCAATTCACACTTCTCTCAGGTCTTTTGAACAGGAGTAGAGTTTTATCCCTTGTCTCCTGTTTAGGATTTCCAGTTCTTTCTAAAATCTTTTCATTCTCTTTCACTCTCAGTAGCCACTTGTGTTTTAGTGACATTATCACCTTGCTTGGGGTGAATTGATTTAAAAAAAATTGTTGTGGAATAGGACCAATGAATTCTAACCTACCTGTGGCTAAGATGCCACGATGTCTCATCTGCCTGGTCAGAGCCACCATTTGCAATTTAGGTAAAGCGCATGCATGGTTCTAGTGATTTAAAAACTATCGCTAATTTGCATGCGTGGTCAAAAACCTGAATAAAAGGTGAGTGACACAGATGATCAGAGAGACGGATCAAACAATTTCACCTGTGCTGGACGGGCTCGTTGTGGCTATCAACTACAAGCTATTTTGGTAGATTGAATTTTTTTACTTTCGTCATGGACAAAATTTGACTATTGAATAATTCCAAAGTTTGGTGGTGCCAGATTGAACAAGGGACCTTTAGGTTTGTGTTTTATACTTTTTTCATACAATCTGGATCTCTTAAGCACAGTAGTTAATTAATTCAACTTTTCTGTACTAAAGTTGAAACAAAAGGGGCAGATAATTATCAAATTACCTCCCTTGTTATTTGATAATGTCATGTTGATAGCTTTTAAAACAGTTTGCATTGAATAAAATGTTGAAATCAGAATTATATAATATTTGTTGGAGATATACGGTGAATAAATAACAACAAAATCTTACGTTACAAAAAACAATGCTTGATGTAACATATCAAAAAATACAAAGCAAGGTATAAATGATGATTAAAAGGTACTTGAGCTTTCAGTTGCTTTCGCAACTTAGTTTTATATGCAGGGAAGTGAGCCTCATTTGTCTTCAGTCGGTCAGCAAACAGTTTTACTACACATGTTTGCGTTGCTAAACCTGATTTTGTTATTTTCTTAGTTAAATGTTGTGTTTTCATACACAATTGTAGCACAAGACCGAAAAGGGGAGGAGTTGAGGCTGGTCATCACTATCTTATCCCTAGCTAATCCGATTCACGACCCATTCAATCATTACAATTTGCCTATTCACCATAAAAGCTCGTCCATCACCAATCAATCCTCCATACACCATAATACCGCATTCTCTCAAGGGGGTCCTACAAAACATGCCCCATACCATAAAAATTTAATGATAAAAAATTGTTATATATAAAAATCTATGATGAAAAATGAGAGGAGAGGGAATGAACCCCAAAACAAACTAAATATGAACACAAGTAAACTAAACATAACTGGTGTTTCTTAAATTACTAACGACTGGCTTAGATTGAAATGTCTTCAATTGTTCATTTGACAGAAATTTAACTTGTGTTTGTTTAATTTTTTTTTTTTTTTAAAGGGAAAACCATGAGTTTTTTTTTTTTTTTTTTTTTTAAATTTTTTACTTTTTTCTTTTTTTTCTCTCTTTTTTCTTTTTTTTCTCTTTTTTTTTTTCTCTTTTTTTTCTCTTTACCTATTTTTTTTTTCTCTTTTTTTTCTCTCTTTTTTTTCTCTTTTTTTCTCTCTTTTTTCTCTCTTTTTTTCTCTTTTTTCTCTCTCTTTTTTTTTCTCTTTCTCTCTTTTCTTTCTTTTTTTCTCTCTTTTCTCTTTTCTCTCTCTTTTCTCTTTTTTTTCTTTTTTCTCTCTCTTTTTTCTCTTTTTTCTCTCTCTTTTTCTCTCTCTCTTTTTTCTCTCTCTCTCTTTTTCTCTCTTTTTTTCTCTCTCTCTCTTTTTTCTCTCTCTTTCTTCTCTCTCTTTTTTTCTCTCTCTCTCTCTCTTTTTTTTCTCTCTCTCTCTCTTTTTTTTTTCTCTCTCTCTTTTTTTTTTCTCTCTCTCTCTTTTTTTTCTCTCTCTCTCTTTTTTTTTTCTCTCTCTCTTTTTTTCTTTTTTGCCCAAAGTGTGCTCTTCTCTTTTTTTCAGTTTTGCTCTCTCTCTCTTTTTTTCTCTCTCTCTTTTTTTTCTCTCTCTCTTTTTCTCTCTCTCTTTTTTTTCTCTCTCTCTTTTCTCTCTCTCTCTTTTTTCCATCTTAACAAGGTATGGTTTTGATTACAAACTGGTAGTGGCATGGTTTGGCTAAGAAAGGTGTGTATTCACTAATGAAAAAAAAAAAAAAGGAAAAGGGGTAAAAGTTCAATCCCTGTTGGGGGCCACAATCTTTCTTTAGTAGGACTTCTCAACCTAGACCAGTTGTTAGTAATTTCACTGTTTATGAAAATAATAAAAAAAATAGGTATGACAACTCGAACACATGTACCCACAAAAAATTTTTAATAAATCAATAAAAATCATATATATATATATATATATATTTATATATATATATATATATATATATATAATGGGCATGTGGCCAAGTAGTTAGAATGTTTGCATTCTGAGTATGAGTCCCAGCTTTGAATTTCACCATGGTCGATTTGTCAGGAAGGAGACTTCTTGATGTTATTGGACTGAAGGGGTCAATCCCAGCGTGTGGCACTTTTGGAAAGTGCCTCAAAACCACACCACGGGTTGACCCAAGCCTTGTGAGTGAAATTGGGTAGACAGAACCCTTAGGTGGGGCATCGATAACTGTGCTAGCACAAAGTCACAAGTCATTGTGGTCAAGAGCTTGAGTGTGCTGGCCTTGTTCAAATTGTTGATCACGCTAGATAAGTCTTTCTCAGAAACTGTAACTAAGGTCTGCTCTGCATTGTTGCAGTATAAACCACAGGTGAGCTCTGTGGGTGTTGAGCAAATGCAGATGTGCCTGAGCAAGCATCTGCAATAGAGATTGGTTGGGCGCTCTAGTAGATGGATATCCTCTAATAAATACGAGTGGCCAACTCATATATATAAAAGGTTTTTTTATTAGTGCCCCATTCAGTGTTTTAATCTTTTTAAGATATTAAATTGCTCTACAGGTTTGATTTGATTTTTTTTTTTTTTTTTTTTTTTTCTTACTTGAAATTGAGCAATTTTATTGCATATGATTTCAAAATGACTATTTTTGTGTCTGCTTATTCTTGTGTGTGTGTGTGTGTGTGTAATTATATAGTTTATCACTTTAAACATTTTTAGTAGATACTCTTGTTTGACGAGATGCTCCATTTATTTATTAAATAGCATATTAATTTATTTTTGTCTACTGGACTGAATGTTTCAATAATCTTATTAAAGAAAAATTTATGCTCTCTGGCAGTGTTTGAACCCGTGTCCTTCTGTGCAGAGAAAGCTACTGTTAAATACAGTACGCTTTGACCAAATGAACTACAAAGACCCAATCAGTCAGACAAGATAAAAATTGATCAGTCGCCATCTTCTATCTTCTTGAGTCTAATTTCTCTTTTATCCTTTCCCCAATCCCCATATAGCCAGTCTTTTCTCTCATTATCACTCCCTGTAACCCCCTGTGTACTAGTGGCATTCCCACCTTGTTTGGGGTGAAATGATTAAAAAAAAAAAATATATATATATATATATATATATATATATATATATATATAAATATATAGACATTAAAACATATATATATAATATATATATATATATATATATATTATATATATATATATAATATATATATATATATATTTATATATATATATATATATATATATATATATATATATATATATATATATATATATATATATATATATATATATATATATATATATATATATATATATATATATATATATATATATATATATATATATATATATATATATATATATATATATATATATATATATATATATATATATATATATATATATATATATATATATATATATATTATATTATATATATATATATATATATATATATATATATATATATATATATATATATATATATATAAATATATATATGGGTCCTGAAATATAACAAAAATATTATAGCTAAACCGGTTTATCAGCCTATATATCCTCAAATCAAAAATCAATGAAAAAGCAAAAAACACAATGACTAAAAATATGATATGATTCCAGACTAATGTTATATGTAAACAAAAAAAAAAAAATAAAACATAGTCTTAAAAGCTTATAACCAGCTACCCCTGTTTACAGAGAGATGGCTGGCAGGACTTAATGTATACCGATTCCAAACCTTCAAGTGATAATTGGTATTAGCCTTACTCAGCACTGAAAGCATGTTCAAGTTACAGGACTGAGAATGCTGCTAGTTTTTAAACAGATCTTCAGATATTGCTGAACCTGATACATTAGTGCACTATGTAAATTGTCCACCTTTCTCTTGCGAATACTGCCTGGTGAGTATTGGTTGATCCGTACCTCCCACCTTTGACCCATTATGCTTATATAGTCAGCATCACACTGACGTCTGAATTTGTAAATTACAGAACTGATATGATGGGTAGGTGGAATATTTGTATTCTCAACATCCTTCTGTAGAACCACATCTCTGTCGCCTTTTTGTCTGTGATGAAAATTTCTTGCCTTCACTGCCATATAGGAGGATTGGTATTACATAGCAGTTTAGCACTTTTTTGTTTCTAATGAGACATTCCAGTTTCTTAATACTTTGCTGAGCTTTTAGAATGCAACTTTTTTCTGAATACATTCGTTGCCAAGTGTTGTATATGGCGAACAATTCATTTTTTTTTTGTTTTTGGTTTCTCCATATGAGTTTCGAATCATAGTCGTCAAGTGTTGTAGAGTGAACGAAAAATTTTTTTTTTTCCCCCTCCATATGAGAACGAATCCTTCGTCACCAAAGTTGTTATATATGGCGAGCAAATTTTTTTCTTTTTATTTCTTTTTTCTTCCACATGAGTTTCAGATCCTGGTTGCCAAAGTTGTTTATGGCGAACAAATATTTTTTCTTCCTCCGTATGAATCCAAATACGTTTGTTGCCAAGTGTTGTATATGGTGAACAAATTTCTTATTTTTTATTTTTTTTTCCTGTATGAGTTTCGAATCATTGTCGCCAAAGTTGTTATAGAGTAGTTTCACAGTGGAGGCTTGTATCGATGTACAAAACGTTAGGAACTTGTTATAATAGTTAATGATGAAGCAATCTAGTTGTGGTGGTTGATACTTTAATGTCCGACATCAACTGACTGACCAACTCTCTGAGCTCACTGGCGACTGCTGCTACTACTACTACTTACTTATTATTATATGTGGGAGTGTCTATCAACAATAGAATAGGTATGTTCCAGTATAACACTTATAACCAGCTACTCCTGTTTACAGAGAGATGGCTGGTAGGACTTAATCTATTCCAGTTTCTTAATACTTTGCTGAGCTCTTAGAATGCAACTTTTGCCATTGCAAAGCATTTTCTGATTTTGGCATCACATTTCCTGTCTTCTGTTAAAATGTTTCTTGGAGATTTGAACTTCTATACATGTTTGATTTTTGACATTGCCAAATTGTGGCTCACATCCTGGGATGTTCTTCCTACTGACAACAAAGATATTCTGCCTTTTTACAATTGACGGAGAAACAGTGAAGTAATAGATAGTGCTTTGATTGAGGAATTGAAAAGCCAAGTTCAAATTCCAGTCAAATTTTGTTAACGTTCACTTATGTGAAAATACCCTTGGGAAAGGTATGAATCTCCTTCCCCTCAACTATGGGTAAATAGCAGGACAGACTAGGTCACATAGACTTGGGCAGCAACCAGTCTGGGAGAAGGACAATTTTGAATTTGAAACCTGTCTGGTGAGGAAGTGTTGTAGCATACCTATGGACGATAATGGGTATGCCCCCATTCATATAAATACAGTAGTAAATACTGTATGTTGGTCTGCAGTTGGAGATTCATCTCCAGCTGTGCTGGTCAAACTCTCTGCCTCCGGGCAGAGAGGATCCCCAGACGAGTCTATGCTGAAGGGCAGAATCTTGTCTCTGGGAAACAGCTACAGGGAAATTTTTGGCCAAACCTATGGGCTTGGATACCCCACATTAAATTCGGCCTTGTGTCACAACTGACCACATGGGGCAGTTGGTAGATATCCTGCAGTTGGAGATTCATTGTGGAATTCATTTGACTCACTTCTAGCCATTGACTACTACTTCTATGTGATGCTGGCAAATCTTATATGTGTTGTTCTTGTCCTAAGTATTATCATTCATTACCAACCTTCATTTGATTATTCTATTCAGTAACCCTCTCTAGGTTACAACAGGAGGGCAAGTGGAACCCCCAGCAGCACAAAAAAGACAAAGGTGGATGAAATCCTCAGTCTATGGCTATCCACTCCAGTTATGGGTTAAATAGCCTCACCCACTTGGAATTGGTTAAGCATGTTGAGTGTGGCTACACCCTGATGATATGGTCAATCAGGGAGGACTTCTTCCAACAGTATCGCAGAAAGAAATGACAATCTACTGCAAGATCATCTGCAGCCTACTCAGTCATGAATTGAAAGAGATATGATCGCCCAAATGTATATCATGTATGGTACTTAATTGACTCACTGAATGTTTATTTTAAACTAACACTGTTGATCCATTCCTCGAGTATCTTTCTTTAGAAAATGGCAAGAGGCAAAAAACAAAACATTAGTTGTTCACATACCAACTGGATTTGTCCATTTCAGCAATGCTAGGTAGACAAACAAAAACCCTACCACTGCCCATGTGCACAAGGGATGCTGCAAAGTACATGAGCACTTCATCTACTAAGGAAAGGAAACCACTGTGTTGATCAATAATAGCCTTGAAGAAAACCTGATGTAATGGAATAACCTGGCACACCTATGAATGATTACACTATAGGTAGTAAGTACCTATAGAATCAACTGTCTACAAGAGACTAGAAGGAGGAGTGAGAGAGAGAGTGAAGACGCAAGCACGTCTGACCTTCCAATTAGTGGCACTCACTACTAGATTGACCTGTGCATATAACTATACCGTATTTCATATTGTACTTGTGTACAATAAACCTTTCTTCTAGTATCCAACTGGTGCTAAGTATTTATTCCCTTAGCACAGGATATAACAGTTCCAACAAGGATTGTCAGAACATAACAAAACCATTGATGCAATGGTTAAATTGTTGCCATTTTATATTTTTAAGTTCATGTATGCAC